CTGTGTGAGAGCTGCTGCCAGTCTGAATGGAAAATAGTGAGTTTGATGGAACAATCGCCTGATTAAGTAGAAGGCAGCTTCTTGTACTCAAGGGCAGCATGCCTAGGAAAGTGCACCTGATGAATGTGTCTGAGCCAAGATGTTGGCTTCTTGAGGGGCTCCCCTCCTCTCTGTCAGGTAGCACATCTGAACTCAGAAAAAGGCAGGAGTTCCCCAGGTGCATCTCAGTTATGCTGGGTGGGGGTGGATAGGAGGGGAACTGCAGAAAGCACCCAAGAGGGCAGGAGCAGGTGTGTAACAAGAGAGAGAGTGGTCCAAAGCCAGGGGCATATCAACCCAAGAAGGAGGCAAAACGAAGACCTGTCCAGAGCACTGGAATACAGGGATAGTAAACATGTGACCTGGATGGCCCAGGGTAGCTTGATCTCAGTAGATCTCAGAAGCTTAGCAGGGTCAGCCCTAGTTAGTATTTGGATGGGAGACCACCAAGGATGTTCAGGGTTGTGATGCAGTCAGGCAATGGCTAACCACCTCTGAATGTCCCTTGCCTTAAAAGAACCTCAGAAGGGTCCCTGAGTCTGGGTAGGGCCACTATGTGTAACAGATCTTGGGCTGGATGGACCTGAACCAAGAAGGCTCCCCCTTTTAGGAGCCAGTTTGGTGTAGTGGTTAAGTGCGTGGACTCTAATCTGGGAGAACCGGGTTTGATTCCCCACTCCTCCTCTTGCAGCTGCTGGATAACCATGGACAAGCCATAGTTCTGTCAGAGCTGTCCTTGAAAGGGCAGTTCTGGAAAGAGCTCTCTCAGCCTCCCCTACCTCACAGGGTGTCTGTTGTGGGGAGGGGAAGGAGTTTGTAAGCCACTCTGAGACTCCTAGTGAATCCAATCTCTTCTCTTCTTCTTAACCCTGGGTGGAAGGGAAGCCCTGGAGGGTTTGACTCCTGGATGTATTGGAGAGGTACTGTAGTGAAACCTGAAGGTTTCCCTCTGGAGAGGCATGTTCCGCCAGAAAAAAAAGCCCTGGGAATTGTCTTGCTCACAGCAACAGGCAAAACTTAGTTTGTATTCACTTGAAGAAGGAAACTTGGTTATGTATTTAATATTATTTAATGTTGTTATGTGTCATGTGTGTAACTCTGTTTTAAGCACACCTCTCTCTCAAGGGGTCAGGTTATTCATAATTCTCAGGAGGATGTCTTTTCCAGAGTGGAATGACTGCCCCTGGGAGTAGCAGAAGTGTTCTGGGACTGGAATGAGAGACCACAGATTGGAATGACAGCCAAAGGGGGTAGCAGGAGTGTTCAGGGACTGGAATGAGAGACCACAGAGTGGAATGACCAGCCCCTGGATATAGTACGAGTGGTCTGGGACTGGAATGAGAGACCACAGAATGGAATGACAGCCCTTGGGTGTAGCAGAAGTGTTCTGGGACTGGAATGAGAGGCCACAGATTGGAATGACAGCCACAGGGGGTAGCAGGAGTGTTCAGGGACTGGAATGAGAGACCACAGAGTGGAATGACAGCCCCTGGATATAGTAGGAGTGGTCTGGGACTGGAATGAGAGACCACAGAGTGAACGGACAGCCCCTGGGTGTAGCAGAAGTGTTCTGGGATTGGAATGACAGCCCTTGGTGGTAGCAGCAGTGTTCTGTGACTAGAATGACAGGCCCCAGAATGGAATGACTACCCCTGGGGGTGGTAGGAGTGTTCTGAAACTGAAATGACAGGCCCCCGAGTGGAATGAACCACCCCTGGATATAGTAGGAGTGGTCTGGGACTGGAATGACAGGCCCCAGACTTGAATGACAGCCCCTGGTGGTAGCAGCAGTGTCCCGTGACTAGAATAACAGGCCCCAGAGTGGAATGACAGCTCCTGAGTGTAGCAGGAGTGTTCAGGGACTGGAATGAGAGACCACGGAGGGGAATGACAGCACCTGGGGGAAGAAGGAGTGTTCTGTGACTAGAATGAGAGACCACAGAGTGGAATGACAGGGCCTGGGGGTAGCAGGACTGTTCAGGGATGGAAATGACAGGCCCCAAAGTGGAATCACGGACCCTGGATGTAGTAGGAGTGTTCTGTGACCAGAATGCGAGACCACAAAGTGGAATGACAGGGCCTGGGAGTAGCAGATGTGTTCTGGGACTGGAATGAGTGACCACAGAATGGAATGAAAGCCCCTGGGGGTAGCAGGAGTATTCTGGGAATGGAATGACAGGCCCGACAGTGGAATGACAGCCCCAGGAGGTAGTAGGAGTGTTCTGCTACCCCTGGGGGGACTGTCATTCCACTCTGGGGCCTGTCATTCCAGTCCCAGTCCACTCCTACTACACCCAGGGGCTGTCATTCCACTCTGGGTGCTGTCATTCCAGTCCCTGAACACTCCTGCTACGCCCAGGGGCTGTCATTCCACTCCCTGGTCTCGCATTGCAGGCCCAGAGCACATCTGCTATCCCCAGGGGCTGTCATTCCCATCCCAGACCACTGCTACTACATCCAGGGGCTGTCATTCCACTCTAGGGCCTGTCATTCTAGTCACAGAACACTGCTGTTACCCCAAGGGGCTGTCATTCCAGTCCCAGAACACTCCTGCTACCCCCATGTTCAAAAGCATGTCAAATGCAAACGTTTACCTTTCAATAAAAAGTTGTTTGTATCATTGAAAGCTCTGTTATTGTGTTTTTCTTTTAAGACAAAAGATGTTAATGTATGAGTTGTTTTGTCTAAACTAAAACCTCAGTATTCAGGTTAAATTGCCATGTTGGCACTCTGCGATAAATAAGTGGGTTTTGGGTTGCAGTTTGAGCACTCGGTCTCTAAAGGTTCGCCATCACTGATGTACAGCCTGAGGTTTGGTCATATTATTCAATGTATAACCAAATCAGTAATTTTTTGATATAACTGTAAAACTGATCTGAAAAGTTATTCTAAAAATGAAACCTTCATCTGGTTATAAATATTAAGATTATTAAGACCAGCAAGAAAGAGTCATTATGTAGCAAATCATGCTTTAAATCCTGTCCTTCTGACTAGTGATTTAAATCATGATTTAACTCAATTTGATTTAAAGTCCAAAAAAAACCCTGAGCTGGGAGAGGTGCTCCCTGCTGCTCATCTGTTTCCCTTTCTTGTGGAGTCTGAAAGCCCTAATAACAGCTGAGTGGCAGGGAGGTGTTCCCCACCACTCAGCTGTTTTTGCGACTTTTGTGGGGAATAGAAAGCAGGGGTTTAAAGGGGCTCGGAGTCCCTTTAAACCCCTGCTTTATGTTCTATCCAAGAACTGCTTTAAAAGTTTGTGGAAGTTTGTGATGGTAGACCTGTCACGAACTTTGGTTCACAAACCATGAACAGGGCAAAATTCATAACAAATTTTGCTTTGTGGTTTGGTTCGTGCCCATCCCTAGCCAAGGGGAAGCTGGGAGTTATTTATTTTTGAGAGTTCACTAAGGAAGGCTATGGTGCAGATTTTCACCTGCTGAGGACCATCTCAGAAAACATTGTCAGTATCAGTACGATGCTTTGATACTACTACTTCGGTGTTAGTAGTTTGCATCTGGGATGTGACATCAGGGATTGAGCCCATCCATGCAGTTGCTGGGCTAAAACTTGTCAGGGTTTATATTTCTGGGTGTGGTAAATACAGAAAGGTCTCTGTGGTATGATCATATACATAGGATAAGAGTCTAATGTATATTTTGATTATTGCATTCTAAATGGGTTCCCAGTAGTTCTTTTTCTGAGCATTGTTGAGCATATTTCTTCTAAAAGAGAACCTTGGCGTGTGCACAGACCTTGTCTAGTGGAGGTTTATTACTGCATGACCTTGGTGATACAATTTTAAAGTAACCTCCCCCCCATTTCTCATCAGCTGCTTTATAATGTTTTAATGTCTTTTAAAAATAAAAGTTTTGCCAATACAAATATTTGTGATAAAGTTGGAAGGCAGTGGAAAACTGAACTTGACATCAAAATATCAGTGCAAGATTAATTTTTTTAAATTATTACTTTGTACACATTATATTTGTAAAACCTCCCTCCTTCTATGAAACATCTGTCTTGCTGTAAGACTCACAGTAGAGTATTTTAAGCTGTTGCCTGAATTAGGAGTCTTTAACCAAGGCATTTTTATCTCTGGTGGAGTTTATCTAAAGATAAACTGAATATAATAACTGCGTTGGGGTGACTTAAGATGGTAAATTTTTCACCAACATTATAAAAAAGATAAGCTGTAATATGCATGCACACTTTCCCCTTAAAGCCATCATACCATGTCTGTCTGTCTAAAATTTCCTTTTTTGTCTTACTTTCACTAAACGGGGGGTCCACAAACTTTTTGACCTTTTGGATGCTGTTGGAATTTTTAATACATGTGATGGGTGAAACCATAAAATGGCAGCTGCAGCAGGAGGAGGCAAGAACAAAATGGCTGCCATGGGCGGCTGAGCCTACCACAAAATATCCAGGAATGAAGTTATGCATAACTCTAATAGTAACCTTTATACATTTCAGACAGAGCTCTGTTTAACAGGATGCCTTTTAAAGTGAACATATTGTGTTGTGTTTGCAGATGCTGCCAAATAGGGCTGCCAACCCCCCCGGTAGGGCAGAATTCCCCCCGCCCCGGAGGCCCGTTACCCGACGCCGGGGAATCGGGGCCCGGGGGGAACTCCGCCCCGGCGTGCGCGTCACCCGGAAGTGACGTCGCACGCTGGGGGCGGGGCCACGCCACGCCTCAAATGGCGTGGCCCCGCCCAGTGCGTGACGTCACTTCTGGTGATGCTCTGGCGGCGCGCGCGCGCATCCACAAAAGGCTCCCGGACCAGCTGGAAGCTTCCCCGCTGGTACGTTTTGCAGATTTGGCAACCCTACTGCCAAAGCAACTTTTTAAACATCTATACAGCCCATCAGAAGCACTGCTGGGCAGCAGGCCTACTTGGCCTTACCCTCGTTAGGCAGTCTGCATAGTGTTGTATGTAACTGGTGTGTTCTTCCCCTTGCAGGATGACTGGGAGAAAGTTCAGAAACCAACAGTAAGTGTATCACTTTGAATCCTCAAATCCATTGTGTATGCAAATTTTTGGTAGCAGTGGTTTGTGGGTTGCACTCACAGTGCTAAAGAGTAGTAGTTTCTGTGACTTGCCAGAATATGTATTTTTTATCAGAAAGTAGCAGAAAGAGTAATAGGGGAGAGTTCTATAGGATACCAGGCTTCTAGGCTTTATTAACTTGCTGAATGGAACCTGGATATTGCTACAGTTCTACTTTGTCATAAAGACTCCATACTTTCTTGAATAGTTAGAAATAAGTCTAGCCTTAGTACCACTCTGTAGCCTGGTCCTAGTAGAACCAGTGAAGGTGCCAGGGCTGACTATGAGTGGGCTTTCTGTTGAATAAGTTTAGTGTCTTAAGAACATGCCTTAAATATTAAATCCAGAGCAAGTTCTGGAACAGCCAGCATTCTCACAGGCACTTCACAATGCTACATGTATCTCTCCTTATATATAATTGAATAGAGGGTGCCAAAGTTCTAATTCTAAAATGCACTCCCTTAGTGTATGGCTGATGGCACTGCTCCTCAGCATATATCGCCACCAATCAGAAGGCAAAGCCCGGGTCCCACCCACACCACAACTGCTGCAACAACCTGGTCTTTTGCATATGGAAGCTGATTGGACTTCAGTCCATTCCACACCTCAAACTCCCCCCCCCCGCAAGGCAGTTGGAATTTTCAGTTGCATAACATACCTCATAGGGGAGAGGAGAATGGGTAACAATGGTTACCACTCTCCAGGTGAGGGCTACAGATAACTCAAACATACAAATGCACTTCAGGTAGCAGAGATCAGTCCCTCTGGAGAAAACAGTGGACTCATTAAACCCTGCTGAGGTCGCCACAGGAAACTGACACTGTTTGCCCAAAGCCAGAGCACTCTCCCAGAGCCTCTTTCTAGATCCCGTTGCATTTATTTCCGCAACGGGCATTATAATTAAACTTTCCATAATTCTGTTCCCTAGTGTTGCGGAGCACCTGAGAGAATGCCGACCATTGCAGAAATTGCTTTGGTTGTACTACTTTAAGCATTTATTTATTTTTTGCACGCAGGTTTGAAGTTTTAACAAGTTAAGCCTAATATTGATATAATCCTGATATTTTAGCTGTCATTAAGAACAGGGCTACGTATTCCAGCACTGAACAATCAATAGAAATTAGAAACTAAAAGGTACAAGCCATGAGATTGCAGTCCTGTTGGCTGGTGACACCTTGGTGACAGCATAATTTTCAAAAAATGCCCATGATAGTGGTTTTCATATCTCAAGCCTATGCAGAGTTAATCCCATCTAAATCTCTTGATTTCAGTGGAGTAACTCTTCATAGGATTGCAGTGCAATTAAACTTTCAGGTGGATTAATATAGTAGGGACTAATTATATTATAAATTATTTACTATGGGGTAATTGCTGAATACTGAATTTTCAGTATTGAATTGGACAGTGTACCAATGTCTTGGGGTTTTCAGGTAGTAATTTTGTGTGTGAGGGCTTCACTGCTTCTTTCAGTTAGGATTTTTAGAGGAGGACACTGTGGTCTATTCTTTCTGTTACATAGCCTTGGGTCCCACACATGACTTCTGTGGATGAAGCCGGAGATGATTTTCATTGGTTCCCCCTTCCCACTGCAGACTTCCAGCCTGCCCTGATTTTCACTCAGAGCAGGGAGGGGTGGTATTTTGAGCTGCAGCAGGAGGAGGCATGAAAGCTGTTTCTGTGGATGGGAATCCCTGCCACGTGTAGCAATCCTCTGTCAGATCTAAGCCTCTCTTTTTTTGGTAGTTGAAATGTGTAGCTTTTATTCTCTAGTTCAGTAAGCCCCCAAGCTAGTTGCTATAATTTATTGCTCACTTTTACTTTTCTCTTTAAAGCTTAAGAGAGTTTCATACTTGTTAACATCTAAATTGAGGGAACTAGAAATTACATTGTAAGTGCTTTGGAGGTAACCTCTCTCCTACACCGCAGCTTGATATTAACTAATAAGTCCCAAGAATAGTGTTGTGGCTGTGCAGAGAGGCCAGATTCCACTGACATCCTTCAAGCATGTCCCTGAGAACACCTGTCGCTCTGTTTCTGCCTGTTTTTACTCCATTGTGCCCCACAAATTTTCCTAACTAACTAAAAGTTCCACACTAATGAAGCATTGCTGTAATTTGAGTGAATTTTGTATGACTGCAGTGAGCACTTATACAGCAGAGGCCTCTGGGTTTGCAAGTGAGCACAGAAGTTTAATCTTAAGATAAAGTAGTTAATGAGTTAAAAGGTTTGCAACAAGCAGGGGTCATTTCGTAGAAAAAGAGGTGCAGGAGCTCATTAGCATAACTCATTAGCATAATCTATTTGCATATGCCACACCCCCGACATCACCGGAAGTGTGTCAGAAGGCAACACCCACCGCTCAGGCTCCACTGGACTGTTTTGGATTGCTAGCTATTGGGGGGGGGGATGTGCAGATCTGTCCTCGCAGAGGAGGGAGAGCTGGTACCTGAATAAAACTTGGTCTTAAAAGCGCCACTGGACTGTTTTGGGCTGCGGGGGCCGGGGGGAGCTCTGCAACTTACCTGGCTGCTTCTTGCTCTGACTGAGAGCGGCCAGGAGCAGGGGGTGGGGCTTGTTGCATGTGCCCACCCCCTGGGCTTTTTACTGCCGGAGCTCCACTCCTATGCGCTCCTGCAGGAAATGACCCCTGGCAACAAGCATAATGTAATTCACGGGAGTTCCAAGGAAAAGCACTTTATCCCTAAAGCTAGTTTTGTGGGAAGGAGATGCCATTAAAATTCTATAACTCACTTATGGCTTTCTTTTTCAGGATACTTATATTTCCACGGTTGATTCTAATACCAGGTATCTATCGTATGCTTTCATTTAACTAATGAAGTCAGTTCATTGTTTAAGCAAACAGACTAGGCTGTACAGATAATCTTTATGAATATTTTTTTATTTCACTATCCAGCATGAAATGAGTACAGGCTGCAATGGAAATGGATGATAGCTAGGCCACTTTCCTGTCTTCTGAAAGTTCTCCGTGTGTGACTTTTAGATCAAGATCAGAGGGTCAGCACTGCTTGTGTTAGTTGAGCAGGACTCATTAATTCCATTAAGTTCGGAGAGTTAATTAAGACCTGGGACATATGATCTAGAGTCTCCCCCATGCGCCACCCTTTCAGAAAAGGGTTGGGGTAGTCAGTGTAGCAGTAAGAAATAAGTTGGTTCTTCTGCCTTGAGAATCGTTTGTGGCTCTATTTGGTGGGAGGCTCCCCATATTTGAAACCATTCCCATTATCTCTGCTTTTTTGTTGTTGTTGGCTGTGACTTCATTGGGCTTAGAAGAGGAAACTTATAGTGCAGTCCTAACAAAGATGCAAAAAAAAAACCCCTGTAAGAAATGCTGCAGCATATAGGGTTCCTTTATTAAACTGTCCCTCTAACAAAACATTTCCCTTTGGACTTGTAGCCCTTTGTCCTGTTTAAAGCATCCTGGTTACCTCTAAAAGTAGTATTTTATAATCGCTTCACATGAAAAATAAAACTTATTTTGCATTTGCATTTCTGCCCAAGACGTGTTTCAGTAAAATACCCCCCTTACTCTATGCAAGGCTGTGTGTGTGTTGAACACTACTGTGCCCTCTCTTTGTCACTGTTTTTATCAGGTGCTTTACCCTGTTGCTTAAAGATCAGCTCATTGTGTTTGGCTAGAGGTGCGTTAGTGATGTGCCAGCTTTTGCTCTGCTGTTGTCATTGAAAGAAACTGCTTAGAAACAGTTGGTTGGATCCACAAGCGGTGTGAAAGTGGGGCCCTCCAGTGGGAAGTAGCAATCTGTGTAAAGCACATGCATAGCCCTCAATAGAAGTGATGTTTTGAAAATATAAATGTTGTGATTTCAGTGGAATAGAACCTGTGGATTGAATCTATTCAGTTTTCTAAAGTACATCTTTTAGATGTTTTTGGATTGGTATGAAAATAATGTCTGCTTGTTCCTTCTAGTTCGTGGACCACCTGGCTGATTGCAGCACTAGCAGCAGTTATTGCAGTCTTTCTGTACCGTTTCTACATGTCTGAATAAGCACCATATTGAGAAGTGATAATGGAAGACTCTGTTTTGGTAAAGAGAACGAAGAATGTGAATTACTGTTCTTCATGTCAGGACAATATTTGAAACCATCCATCCATGGCTAGAGGTGCGTTAGTGATGTGCCAGAAACTGCTTAGAAACAGTGGGTTGGATCCACAAGCAGTGTGGAAGTGGGGCCCTCCAGTGGGAAGTAGCAATCTGTGTAAAGCACATGCATAGCCCTCAATAGAAGTGATGTTTTGAAAATATAAATGCTGTGATTCCAGTGGAATAGAACCTGTGGATTGAATCTATTCAGTTTTCTAAAGTACATCTTTTAGATGTTTTTGGATTGGTATGAAAATAATGTCTGCTTGTTCCTTCTAGTTCGTGGACCACCTGGCTGATTGCAGCACTAGCAGCAGTTATTGCAGTCTTTCTGTACCGTTTCTACATGTCTGAATAAGCACCATATTGAGAAGTGATAATGGAAGACTCTGTTTTGGTAAAGAGAACGAAGAATGTGAATTACTGTTCTTCATGTCAGGACAATATTTGAAACCATCCATCCACCATTGAGAAAGCCAAAATAAAGTTTGTTTGACTGTGCACTTTTAATCCTGCCTTTTACTCAACTTTTATGTGTAGGGGCTCTCTATCATGTTAATCTGTTCACTGTATGAGATTACTGTGCTATTGGAATTAAGAACACTGATACTCTCTGTGTATTCTTATGAAATGTGACTTTATCACTTAAAGCTTTTTGATTTTTCCCCCCTCCCTCCATTTTGCTTCTCTTGTCAACATAAATGGCAGTTGGAGGTGATGTCTTAAGACTCCTTCCTTATGCTTACCACTTTGCCTTTTATCTGTAATTCTTTCACTAACAGCTGGTTTCTTTCTAGTTAAATACCCATTTTTAAAGTTGTAACTTCTGTCTTCCTAAAGGGGGGGGGGGCTCTAGCTTTAGCATGGGAATAATGACATCTTAACACACTGGCTTGAACCAAAAGAACCTGGGGTGTGAACAGAAAGCAATTATGCCCCCCCCCATCTGCAACCACCCTCCTGAAAATGGCTCTAGAGACCTGGCCTACACATAAGTAAAGGTGCGCTCAGTTCACACAGCAGCATCTCCGGACCAAGTTCGGTCTCTGATAGGGCAATATATTTGTAACTATCTCTGGGTTGAAATTTCAGTATGAACTTTTGCCAGTCAGAAAAAACCTCCTTTCTCTGCATAAATTGCATAAACAGGGTGGTGCTATTTCAATCAGAATCCCTATGTGTGTTGAGCTCTCGAGAACTTTGCCTTCGTACGCTACTCAGATTACTGTAAAACCTGCCTTGAATACCACAGTTGTAAACAAATACATGAATGTCTTGAATCTGTTCACAGGTCCTTTTGATAAAATAATGGAATATGAAAGAAAATAAGTAGTGAATGTCACATGCCCATTTGTTTTGCATAACTCTACTTGCGTGTACATATGATTTTACTTGTTAATTCTTGTGTTATTCACATGGATAATGTTTAAGGAATAAACTCCGATGTTTACTGTATCTTGTGATGTCCTGTTTGACAGAGGTATGGAGTCAAGCTCAGCTGATATTAATGAAGGGGTGTGCATCAACCTGGGTAGGGTAAAGAGTATATGGTAACTTGGGAAATTCATGGCAATATGGGGGCAGTTCTTATGAAAGGTGGTGCTGGCTGGGAGCGCAGTGAAGTGATGCCGTAAACTTTGCCTTCCAAAGCTCAAAATGCATCTAAATTGATGTAGTAATGTAAATATTTAAATTTAATTTCTTTACAGTTGGTTCATCAATCCAGTACATTCTTTAAGTGAACTAATAATGCTACATTAATAAACTTTGTATATGAATGCAGGCATTATATGAATGCAGGCATAAGGGGCATTTAAAGGGTAATTATTTTATGGACTGTGGAGAAATGCACTTTATTTGCAGGTTTGGACTTGATAAAACTACCACCTTGAGTTTAAATTTTTTCTTTCTTTCTTAGCTGGAGACAGGCAGTAATAAAAAGTAATTTGCTTTCAAGCCTCATCAAGCACCAATCATCAAAGTTCTGGAAATGCTAATGGCTTTCTGGCTGAAGACAATGAGATGGTCAGCTCACACCTTAAGTAGGAATGTGACACCTACACAGAGAACTATTATGTTCCTGCAGATTTCTGGAAGGGGTTTTTCAAGGGTAGTCAAACCGAGATAATAAAACCCTTTACATAGAGGGAGAGGGTTACATTTTGGTGGTCCAACTTTTGCAAGGTTAATTCAGGCAGAAGGATCTCTCACACCTGAGCCCCAGCTGATGGCAGCTATTGCCACGTGGAGCAGACCTGGTAGCCTGAATAAAGACACCATGGTAATAGAAAGCTTTTAGAACTTTGTAACTCCTAAATAAAAGAGCTTTCCTTAGAATAAGATCAGCTATGGCATATATAGAGTATGGGACAGAGGAACTTCATATTTACACCTTTCATATTTCTTACTCTGGTCTGTTGCAGTGCTGAGACTATGTGTGTGGACGCTTTTATTTCTAATAAATTCTCTACCACATAGACCTCAAGTGTTTGAACACACTATTCAAAGCTGGTGCCCAGGGAAGGGAGGTGGTCAGTTGGTAAATCGATATTTCCATGGGAATGCACAAATGCAGTAAGCTGTAGTTGTTGTAACCAGTCACTGAGTAGCGGGAGATGCAGGCAAAAGGCAGGGTCTTTGAATGGCAATGTGGGAAAGGGCGCTGGGACCACTGGCTCTCTTGGTGGGTAATTCCTAATACAGCCAGTGGGTGGCAGTAGTACTGAAAGAGGAAAATCCTTCCTGGGGTTGGGCAGCCCAGAAAAGTGGCAGGCTGCTAGGTGGTTGCAGATGCTGAGGTTCCTTGGCGACTGAACAGAGGAGCATTTGCAGGTTAGCAGGGCCGTTCAGCCACATGGACTGTTGGAGTCCTAATAATGGAGATCATATAAGTAAATAAAAGCTATCAGACCATTTGGAGATCATGGCTTCTTCCTAGTTTCTCTTCAAAATAATTCTGAAAATATATTAAGTCAAAAGATGAATTTGCAATGAACCAACTTTAACAACATCACTGATTATGCAGAAATCAATCTACACCTCCCACTCTCTTCCAAGAATGTCTGGTTCACTGGACACTGCATTTAAAATGTGTCTTGCTAAGTTTGCTTATTTAATTGATAATACTCTATAGTATTTAACAAGTAGCCTTGTTTATTAAAAATATCTTGAGGCATCTATGTCAAGCGTCATTAATTTTCTTTAGTACAACGGTATTCTGATAATTAGAAGAAAAATGACATGCAGAAGGTCAATTAAGTTTATTGAGCTGCGTATTTTAACTCAACATTCCGGCTGCCAGTTTCTCATCTGTCTACTAATTTTTGCAGTTTTTAAAATAACTAATGCTTTTTATAGGGTGGTTAAATGTGATAGAAAGTTGGGTACTGAAATGTCAAAGGGGTTCAGTTGCTGCTACTGATCATGCTGGTATATGTGAGCATGCACAATGTTTAGCAGCAAAATCAACAAATGGATGTTTTATCACTGCACTAGGCCTGTTAAGATTCCTTTCTAGTCATTTCTTGATTCTCAAGTACACTAGTTCACTTAGTTTCTAATGTCGTCAGACTATCACTTTATGGCTATGATTTCATTGCTTCCAGCCAGGTCAAGGTGTCATTCTTTTGCTGTAGTGAAATAGATGATAAAATTAATAAATTCATTTTGGTAATAGCAAGGTAATTGATTGTTTATAGGAGAATTGCTAGGGTGCAGTCCCAAGACATCCCTTCTGCCCAGTTGCTTAGCTACTCTGCATCCATGGCTGATACTCTCACACACCAAATTAATATTTTTCCTCTAGAAATGTGATCTGTCCTGTTGTACCAATTTTTCAGTACACCAAAAGAGCAGTGGTGCTAAAACATAGCTTTGTTGTTGTTCGGTCGCACAGTCAAGTCTGACTCTTCGCGACCCCATGGACCAGCTCCCGCCAGGCCCTACTGTCTTCCGCCGTCCTCTGAAGTTGGCTCAATTTCATGTTTGTTGAATAATAAATGTGCTACTGCCTTGAATGGATATAATATATGAGGGGTCAAGGAATAGTGTCTTCCCTCAGTCTGTGAGGAGAGAAGATTTATCAATTTTCTCTCACTTGCTCTTATTCTGTTCCTTTTATTTTGGGGGGAAATTGGCTGCTTTCATGTCACATATGACAGCCAGTTGTAAATATTCATCTTGGTGCTAGTTTTGGTTCTTGAAATATAAACATAAAAAGCTGCCACCCAAAAAAGGGGGAATTGAGAGTTCAGTGGTTTGAATACTGAAGCAGTGTCCAATAGTTCTGCAAATAATGGTATCAACAAAGTGAAAAGTCTCCAGGTAAAGTGTGTCTAGAAAATATATCCATTTAATTTTAGATTTCTATCAGGTTTTAAAGCAGGTGATTTGTTCCTTGGCTGCTGGTTTACATTTTTTACACAAAGGAACAAGGTTACAAATAATGGTGACCCCAGCAGTATGAGCCCAAGGAAAGCTGAGACTTGCTTTTGTTGGTCTTCTCTCCTCCCCCAATCCAACTGCTTTTCAAGCCAAGAAGAGTTTTTGGGAAAAGGTTTATGACACTGTGTGACAGATGGGAAGAGGTAGAGAGTGCTGTTCAAAGATGGGGAAAATCCAGTGAACACGCAAGCATAAGTGCCTTGTTTGAGCCTAAGCAACTTTTCAGATTCTAGCCGATGTCTTCAAGTTTTCCTTCTGTGTAGGAGCGCTGAAAAGGAGTCCTTAAAAGCTGATTCATTTGAACATGCTTTTGTGCTAAAAGTGTTTTTGGACAACTTTGCTTTGTGTCGCACAGTAAATCTGCAATATTTCTGGGTAACTGAGTTGTCTGAAGATGCCTAGTGTGGGATGAGATTAAGTGGAGTGGGTGGCACTGTTCGTTGTTTGTTTTTAACTATTCTGTCAGACCAGTATTTTTCAAAGGTGGACTCCTGATCTAGGGTGTCTGCAAGTGCTTTGTAAGGACAGAAGTAGAGCCTTTTTCATGCTAAGTGGAAAATG